AGAGGATGGCTGTGGTGTCCCTGGAGCGGGAGGAAGGGGTGCCGGGTTGGGGGGGGACGCGGACAGCCTGTTTTGGGTCCTACTGCAGGTCACGCCAGCAAGGACAAGTCTGGGATGAGGAGGCGCATCCTTAACTGACCGGAGCTGGCGGCTCTCCGCTGTAGGCGAGAGGGCTGTGCCAGGCTGGTGCCGTGCTGGTGCCGTGGCCCTGGCTTGGGGAAGCCCATTAGGGAAATCTGGTAGCCGTCGCCTTTGCACGTGGACTGTGTTTGCAAGGAATTGTGTTCGGCTGGATCCCGTAGGAGTGTGTTGGCTCGTTTGGCAGTGAAACTGGTCCCTGTTTCCATGGCGGAAGGCGATGGAGTTTGGGGAACGTGATGTCCTGGTCACCCCCAAAGCTTCATGCTCGGGAGGGGAAGTTTCCACACCGCCAAGGATCACCCCTTCCTGCTCAAATCCTTTTCCCATCGCTCCCCATGCCATCCCCTGTGTTCAGGGCCTGGAGGTTGGGTTTGGGAGGATACAGGTTGGCAGTGGGTGTATACAAGATGCTGAGCATTGTTCATCCAGTGCCATGCAGACAGCCCTGTGTCCAGCACAAGATAAATCCATCATTAATTACACAATTTGCATATGGAGGAATCTATTAGTGACTCTGGTTTCCTGAGCGTCAGGACCCTGCAGGGCTTTAGGGCTGAGGATCTTAAGTGTGCTTAAAGGGACCTTAGGGTGCACCCTGGTCCCAATCCGGAGGTGGGTCCCCTTCCCCTCAGATGCCAGGCACTGCGCAGAGCGAGGTCTGGGGCAGTCGCAGCACCGGGATGAGTTCATTCCCCGTGCATGGCCCCGCCACGCTTGTTTATTCATCCAAGGGTGAGCATGGGATGACCTTGAAATTTATAGGCTGAAGAGACCAGTGAAATAACAGCTAAAATAAACAAATCAAGCTGTAAAGCTTGAAAACTATGAACTGGCTTCAACAAATTGGAGTCAGGAGGGAGGGAAAGCAGAGGTGGCCTTGCAGAGACATGGTCCCCGGGGTCTCGGCATAGGCTGGATGCACTGAGGGTTTGACCCGTGGGCTCCACACACCTCCATCCCCACCCCGTTCCGGTGGCACCCTGGCGATGCCCACCTCTCGCCATTCACACGGGGCTGCACGGCCGCCTGAGTGTCTGCCAGGCACCATGAACAGCCGCGGGGAGAGCAAATGGAGCAGGCGCTGGGCTGCACAGCCGCTGGGCTCAACCCCAAATCCCACCCAAATCCAGCCTCTCGTCTTTCAGGTGATCTGAGCGCCCGGCTGTGTGCACGTGGTTGCTTGCCTAGGCTTTAGCACCTGGATAAAAGACCTTGAAGAGGAGCATGAGGCTGATTCCAAGTGCCAGGCGAGCACCACGTGTGAGCTGCGGAGAATGGCGTGATGCCCAAATGTAATCTGAACTGCTCGCCCTGCTCTCCAGCTCCCAGCTCCACGTCTCCCTTGGGTTTATTCTGGACAACAGCAGCAGATTTGCTAGCGTGGGGCTGGAGAGCCTGTTGAGCTGGCCGGAATGGTCTTGTTTGGGCATGGAGCCCCATAGGGGTTGTCTTCTCTGGAAAGAAGGACTTAATTCTCGTCCTGCTCTCCACTTCCCCTCGGCCTTGTCATCCCGTGGCAAAGCTGCCCCGGGTACTTGCTGGGCATTGCTGGACTGTGTCACATGCCCCTCTGTGCCTGCCCTGGCAGGCTGAAACAACCCAGGGGGCACCTGCAGCCCACCAAGGGGGAAGGGGAGAGACCTCCCCAGCAGCTGC